CAATTACTTATGTCAAGAAATTTAAGAGACAATATACCTATTGTAATAATAGAAAATTAAAAAAAAATGTTTTTAATGTAATGTGAATGTTAATGTGTGTCTTTGTAATCTAATGTTCATATAAATGAATAAACCAACTAGTGCGGCACCACAAATTCTAACAAAACTAATAATCTCGGGCGCCAGGTGCCTTAACCTTCAATGAACACAGACAACTAATAACAAATACAATGAATGCCTCGAACAGCTCGGTCAGCGCTAGACCTTTAATCTAGGATGGGGGGCAGCTATTAAATAAAGAGATGTTATAAGCTTAAGTGGCAGTTTATTATCCCGTAGCGTCTGTAGAGTACATGGTATATTATAGGTCTAATTACAAATTTAATTCTTATACTCAAATTAGTACTGTCATTAATGCAATCTGTTTACCTTGCTAATACAAATAAAAAGTAAAATATCTTTAAAAAGTCACATAAAGACTGTTAAATAAGTAAAGATTTAAGGGTAGTTATCATAACGACCTACTCCCATAATAAAAATAACACCCCTTAGAGCCTGCAGTATCCGTTATGGCTTTGGCTCTGTCCGTTTGAATTTAGGGTATAATTAATTCTTATAAAGCTCACTCGTGCTCCCACGTGGTTGTAGTGGCGGGGTAAGTATTCTAAGGTTCCTGGATCCGGTTCCAAGCAAATAATGGGCTACAGCCAAAGGGCTTTTCCTGCCATTAGAGGTACTTAAGAAAGTAAATCCACACTCCGAAGCAAACTAAATCCTTGGATCGGGCAGGTAGTGAGGTAAAAACTAATTGTAACGTAAGGACATTACAATCTAATAAGAAGGAAACCCAAAGTAATAAAAAAAACTGAGGTAAAGGAAAAAAATCCTGTTTGACACTGCAACAACGAAAATTATAGGTTATTTGCCTATCTCCAATGATGAAGTCAAGGTCAGGTAAGATATAATAATTTACTCACCAGGGTTCCAAAACGTTTCACAAATAAATCAGAGGCATTACTAATAATTCCTGTAACCAAATAAACAAAGATTTAAAACAACTAGTCTCCATAAGCCAAGTACGAAACACGTGGCTAATTAAAACTTACCAAAAAAAGCAAACTAATATTTCCAATAAAAAACTCGTTTCCTTAACAAGACTGGCCATCAATAAAAAGTGAATTAATCCTCTGATTGTAACAAATGGTAACGGATTACCATCTATTCAAAAATGCCCATCAAGCCTTACAACTTACTCCGACCCAGCCAAAATGCTAAAAGTGAACAACCAATGTTGCTAGCGCTAAAGTTCCGTTTCGCCTTAGAATGCGACAAAAAATGTTGCCAGAACTAGAAAAAACTAAAATCGAAAGTATACCATAGTCGATTAGACAGACTAACAAATCTCGTCCGTGACGAAGAAATGTCCGTCCGTGAAATTGTAACATTTAAAGATTATAAAGAAAATGTCAAAAGGAATAATGAAAATAAGTCAAAATATTATAATAGGAACACAAAGTCTTTCTCATTGTTGTATCCTAATGATCATGTCTATTTTAAGAGGAAACCTGAATGTAATTGGGAAAAGGCCATAGTCAAATTAAGGTTGTCTAATAATAGGTCTTATGTCATAGAGGATGTCAATGGAGTTAGGTATAGGAGAAATAGGGTTTACTTAAGACATAAATACTCTTGTAATACAGCAGACCCCAACCATCCTCACCTCAAGCCTCTAGTCAAAAAGTCACTCATTATGGCAGAGTTGTAAAGCCAACGAGAAGACTAATAGAAGAAGTGCAATAATTATGTAAACATGTATAAAGTATGTCTAAGTAATGTCTAAATATAAGTCTTTGTAAAGGGTGTATATGATTGCTACAGCATGGTCGCTCAGTCGTTGAGTTTGACTTAAGAAGGGGGATGTTGTAACATCACTACTTTAGTAAGTAGTAGTATGTATCATCACTGAGTCACATAGCAAGATGTACACTCTAGCGCAGCCATTGCTTGATCGTCCGCGACACTGTGTAGACGTTGATGTTGCATAACTTTAGCTAATGAAGGCACTGCATGGCATTACATTCCACCACATGCTCCGAATTTTGGCGGACTATGGGAAGCTGGCATTAAGTCATGTAAGCAACATCTTCGGAAGGTCATAGACACCTCTACGCTAACTTACGAAGACATGTCAACTCTTCTAAGTCAGGTAGAAGCGTGTTTGAATTCTCGCCCTCTTTATAAATTGTCAGATGGGGATGTTGTAAAGGCCTTAACCCCCGGGCATTTCCTTGTTGGCGAACCTCTTATCACCGTACCAGATCATAACTACGAAACTTCAAATATTTCTCCTATAAAACGATGGCACCTATTTCAGAAAATGACTCAGGAATTTTGGCATCGGTGGTCAAATGAATACATATTTAACTACATATCTGCATAGATATAAATGGGGTAAACAGATTCCTGAGCCTGTTATAGGAGATATGGTATTAGTGAAGGAGGACAATTTGCCTCCTTGCAAGTGGTTGCTTGGTCGAGTGATTGAAAAACACCCGGGTCAGAACAATCTTACGCGTGATGTAACTCTTAGAACTAGTTTTTACACTATCAAAAAGCCAACGTCGAAGTTGTGTGTTTTGCTTATAGATTAAATTATACATATATACTGTATTTTTCTTAATCAATTTGTCATTGGCATTTATACAAAAGGTGTTTTAACTTTGCTTTACTCTAATTATATACTTTTTTTTCCTTTTTTGTTGTATCAAAACTGTATTGTTGGTATTTGCTACACTTAGTCAAGTAAAATGTTGGATTGTAAAGAATAACCTGGTTGAATATCGTACTATTCAACTTACCAATTGCTAAGGACATACTGTTTTTAATGTGTCCTTGGTGGGCGGAATGTCATTTAATAAATTAAATTGTTATCATTTTAGGGAACATGTTACGCCGTCTATTGTGATCTTAATTTATTAATTCAATTTTATCAATTCATTGTTCATTTATAATACCATAATTGATCGAAAGATGGCGTGGTCTGCATCGTTCATTCTGTACATCGCGATCGGCATCAAGTGAATTACGACCACACTGTTCAATATTTTTTTGTCCATTAAACAAACTTGGAGCGTACCTCCAAGTGGGAAACCTGTTTATTTTTGTTTTATCTATTCCCTAACCCGCCCCTAATCCGGAAATACCGCAGACGATAACCCGTTTCACAGATTGGTTGTGCGGGGCAAAAAATGTTTCGAAAAGCCACATTAGTGGAGCGCTAACTATCCAGGTAATGAGGATGAAAATTTTGACGTGTGGAACGCGATGGCGGAAAGTTGCGGCTCGTATTAGTCCGAACAATTCCTCGGAGCACTCTCCACGATATATGCGATAGGGTGTGCAGAGTGAAGCCACATCTCTACGTAATGCCAAGGGATCGAGCCGATCGGAGATATTTGGGCTATCGACGATTCGAGTCGCTCTTCGTTGGATGCGGTCCAGAGGGGGAAGCTGGTACTGAGGTGCCTCTGCATAGAGATGAGAACAGTATTCCCAATGCGGCCGGACTTGCACCTTGTAGAGCTGAAGGCGGTGGGCCGGAGTGAAATACTGCCTCGATCTGTTAAGCACACCGAGCTTCTTCGAGGCCAATTTATCCTTACCCTCTAAGTGACCCCGAAACTGGACTTCGCTCGATATGTCGATGACTAGGATTCCGATACTGGCTGAGGCAGTTAGGGAGGTGCTCTCAAACTGAGGTGATACCACAAATGGTATCATTTTTCGGTGAACGCATAGACCTGCGTAATTGCATAAAGGAAGCTTAATCTAGACATATATTTGCTACTATGTGAGAGACTGGCAACTTTACTAGGGAAACTGTATGACAGATTACCAGCCTCTCCACACGTCACTGGACCCGTGCAATACCAGTATGTCTTAAGTGTCGATGGGCTAGTGTGAACATTGCTACCAGTTGGCAGAATGGGTAAGCTTATGAAGAGAGTGTGTGTACGTGTGTGCGTGTGTGTGTGTATGCGAGTGTATGTATGTGTGCGTGTGCATGTGAAATGTGTTGTATGTGTATCTACTAATTCAGGAAATAGTGTGCAAAAGATTTTCAGTCTCGTTGTAACTAAGGGATTTCAGCCAGGTCGTGACCACCTTTTTACACTTAAAGCGTGTAAGGGAATAAATGCTGAGCTGTTTTTTGATTTTGTTGTATAGGTAATATCCTAGGAAACCAAAAAATCTAGGTATAAGGTACAGGTCTTTAGTAGGAAAAAGAAATGGCAAGGACCGACTAGCCTTCAGTACTGCTCTTTGCGCTCAAATTACATCAAGTTTCTCTTACATGTTCCGCCCTACACAGTGACATAATAACCTATAATCTATTGGCAGAGGGCCAGATAAATCATTTTGACGACCTATGTGTCCGCTATGTGTCGCACGTTTTTAAATATGAACATTAATTTTAACGTTCTGGAGGAAAGTAGGTCCAGGTGGTGACTGAAATTCAACGAATTATCTAATACCACTCCCAGGTACTTAACGTTGAAGAATACGTTAAGATGAGTACAAGAGCAGGGTTAACTGAGTGAGCCACACTGTCACTGTCCAAGTGCCGCAGACGACTCAGGCGCCGGAGGTGGCAGAAATACTTCCGTCCTCCATAAACGCAGGCCTGAGGGTGACAGGTGAGGCCATCTGTCACTCTAGCAGAAGCAAGCCGGGGTAGGTAGTGGCTCGCCGCGCTACGGAGTGTGCACGTACTGCACGTCCTTCGGAGCAGGAGGGGAACCTCCGGGTTCCCACACAGGAGGGATCATCTATAAGCCGTAGATGGCCCGAGGTACGTCGGGGTACCAGGGCTTTCTTTTCTAGGGTATGCCTGGTTCCCCGGCTACTGGTACCTTGAGACTGGTACGAATGAGAACTTGCTTACGACACTAAAACATCTTACAAAAGTCGTGTCGTACAACATAAGTGATCATGAAATAATGAATTGTCATACGATACCTAAGATGGACCATGATTCTACTAGACCTCGGTCGATTATTATACAGTTACAAAGTCCAAGACTTCGTGATGGGTTACTGACCGCGGATAAGAAATACAACAAACTACATAAAGCTGAGAAGCTGCACAGTGGACATTTAGGCTTGGGTGACCCCAGGCAAGCTGCAAACAGGCAATTGCATGCTGTTACAAGAGTTGCAGCCAGAGAAGATAAATTCGTCTAGATGCGTAATGGAAAGGTTTTTGTCCGCAAAGATGTTCACGCCAAAGCAAAAATAGTGTTAAATGAGGGCGTTCTTAACAAACTGTAAATTAAATTTTCTATGCATGTTTCTCTTAATTAAAATAGTTAAAATTCACGTTAAAAATCTATTACCAAACTCTAATAGGCTTGAGAACCAAATGTAAAGATTTTTAAATGAATGTTGTTCAAAATCATTATGGCATCATCATTGTTTCGGAATCGTAGTTAAACAGCTATATCTTTGATTATGAAATCTTTGATGATCGATATGATATATTTCGGCGCGTTCGTTGTTCAACTATATCCTGCGAAACTACAAAAAATGGAGGTAACATTTGTATAGCAGTGTTAAAGAAATTTAAATCTCCAAGAAACTGTCGATAGGAATCCCCATGCGAAGAACTATGGATTATTCTGAAGCTAGCTCCGAGTATAAATATGTGGAGTTTATGTCCCACCATATAATGTAAGTCATGATTATGTTGTATATTTAAGTATGTATTACCGATGTCGTTCGGAATAAGATTGTAAATAAATATGTTACTTTTAGTCACGCGCGACGCATCGTAGCAAGCGGTCGTTTTGATAAGAGCTGCGTAATTACGATGTCAACTTTTTTCAAAACTACCTTCCTACCTTATGGGCCAATTTCGATTTTCGAGAAAACTTGTAAGAACCAAAATTTACCTTAATTTTCAACTTTTTTTATTTTTTAGAATTGTCTCTACTTGTGCTGTAATAATAATAATAAATGTTTATTAAAATTTAAAAGCGTATTACAATATTCAATTACTTCTGCCAAACTGCACAGCAGTTTGTTGGCACACGTAGCTCCTATTTATCACATTACATTATTTTAACTATTGTTATTACACTCTTTATTATAATTTAACAATTACATTACCATTTCCTTTTTACAAAAAAAAAAAATAATTAAAAAAAACATTTAATCAAATTAATTAAAATTACCTAGTGATTAGTTATTGTTAACAAAAATAATTAAGTATTATCACTATACTTTAGGTTCCTGTCATGTTTTAACTGATCACATTTAGAAGAAACTTAGTTACTTTGTATTTAAACTATCGTTTTGAAGTACAAGCACTTTCTATGTCTGTAGGTAAACTGTTATATATAGTTGGTACTAAATATTTATTAATAATTATGGCAAGTAGGCACCTCAAACGTCCCACAATATTTAGCACCTCGAGGCCTTAGTTGCACAGCCCTGACTTTTTTTTTTTTTTGTACTCTTGGTGGCAGTATTTTATTTATTTATTTATCTTAGGAAAGCTTACAGACTAATATTAACATACACGGCTGGGTAACGCTTAAATTTCTAATAAAAAGCTTCCACATATAAATAACCTAATAATAAACCACAGTTATACATAATATTCCCAGTTGATCTGAACAGCAGTGTCAGCAAAAAATAAAAGCGAAAACTAAATTATAGGCAACACAAAAAAAAAACAAATAAAATAATAATTAAAAAGATAAACAAGGTAATTCAGTAGGCATATCTACCGGTCGCTGCCAAAGAAATATTTATTGAAAAGTATTTTGACTGTAGTTGAATTTGTACAAAACAGATCTAAGTCCAACTTTGATGCCACATCAGTATAGCTCTCAGCCGCACACAAAAGATACGAGTTCCGCCTATAGTTAGCTACAGCAAAGGGAACGTGTAATAGGGGACGATGTCTAAAAACTAATTGATTCGTTCTAAGTGTGATATTGCTCAGCAATTCTGGACAATTAATGGTACCATTGGCGATGTTTATCAGGAAACATATGTCACTAACAGTTCGTCTTTGTTCCAAAGGCAAGAAATGATAACGCTTGCAACGTTCATTGTAATCGGCAGAGTATTGTTGGGCTTTAATATCTAAGTAACGCAAAAACTTTCGCTGAATACCCTCTATGCGCGATTTATAAACTTGATATTGTGGGTTCCATACCTGTGACGCGTATTCAAGAAGACTACGTACATAGGCGCAGTATAAAATTTTTACAGTTTTTAGAGATCGGAAACATGTAGACATTCTCACGACAAAACCCAGTGCTTTCAACGCTTGTTTTGTAATATGATCGACGTGCATATCGAATAAAAGTTTCGAATCCATCACCACACCAAGGTCCCTAATGTGATCTACCTTCTTAATAAATTCATTGTTTAATTGGTACCCAGACCCAATTGTAGATTTCCGGCGTGTGAAGGAGATATAGCAACATTTAGCCACGTTAAGGTCAAGCTTATTTATTTTGCAGTAGGTTACAAAGTTGTCCAAATCACTTTGTAGCTGCTCGACATCAGAAGAATTATGAATTGTTTTAAGAATCTTCATATCGTCAGCGTATAAGAGTATTTGCGAGTTTTTTAAACAGCTATTAATACCTGTAATAAATATTATGAATAGCAGAGGGCCCAAAAGTGATCACTGGGGCACCCCAGATGGGATTGAACACCAACAAGAGGTAAAACCTTGGACCACTACCGCCTGGGACCGATTGTCACTATAGGAACAAAAGCAACGGTATAAATCGCCGTGTATTCCAGCGGCAAGAATTTTTTGTAATAATATTTTATGATCAATACGGTCAAAACATTTCATATAATCAGTGTATATCACATCCACTTGTGCCCCCTGTGCCATGCCCCTGGATAGGAAATCGTGGGATAATATTAGGTTTGAAGTAGTAGTACGTTTACAAGGAAAACCGTGTTGTTCACTACTAAGCATATTCTGAATCGCCAAATAAGTCTCATTATAAACAACCCGTTCAAGCACTTTTGCAAATAAACATAATTTTGATATTGGGCTGAAGTGAATAATACAGGACCGTACCTTCTAGTGTGTAGCCGAGCGATGAATCTCATGAGCAGCAAGTAAAAGTCCCAAGAAGTAGTCTTGTACAGTTTATTATCACTTCACAACACTAACACTAAGTATACAGTTTATATTCACGAGTAAACAATCTATTTACAAGAATATTTTGTACAAAAACATAAACCGCTGTTAATTATTTCTCCTTACGTATCGCACTCCCCAAGCGCGCGACTACTGACTACCCTCCAGTAATTTATCGAAACAGTGTACACCCTAGGCAAGAGGTTTATTTATTTTATACAAGAACAAAATTTTTATTTTGAATGAAGTTAATTTATATTATGATTGTTAACCATACTAATTGGATATAAATAGGTTTTTAGCAATAACAAGAACTTAACAAATATTTTTAGGATAAAAATGAAAATGAAATTTTAGTGTTTAGACACACTACAGGGCGATAATTTTCGATGTTAGATTTATCGCCTTTCTTTAATATGGGAGTTATAAAGGCAGATTTCCAGATCAGTGGAACTGTGCCCTCTGTCAAGGATCTACTAAAAATAACACAGAGTGGCACAACTAGGCTTTCCGCTAAACTAACTATAAAAATCGGTGGAATGTAATCTGGACCACCAGATTTGGAAAGGTCTAGGTTTTTCAGCAGATTTAATACCTTGTCTTCAGAAACATGAATTGAACTAATGAAATGATAGGTTTTTTTTTTTTTTTTTTGGGACTAATCCCACCCACACGCCCACCACTGTAACTCCTGTACACCAGGATCCACAGCAGTGACCCACGAACACACCGAGTTATGACACTCGGGAAGTCCCAGGAAGTAATTAAACTGTCTTGGAACCCGCAACGAAATTAATCAGAAGAAAATTGGAGGAGTTGGAAATACAGTAAATCCACTTCCCTCCTTAGCAAAGCGGGAGATAAAATGAAGTAAAATGGGCATACACCCTTTTAAACAGGGAAGCACCACGGCCACAAATATTACGGGTCCTACGTGAGCTATGTTTGATTTCTATAATATGTATGGCAGAATCGCCTAAACGCACGGAAATTCACCCTAGTTGACACAAGATCCCCATAGTATACCGCCCCAGATGTCACCTGCAAGCTATTCAGCATTATATTACGTTTATTATACCAAAGACTACATTCCCAGAGGATATGATGAGCAGACTGTTCATAGTGAGAGTTAGGTGTTGAGCATTGACACAATGGTGACTCCACTAATTTAAATGAATAAAGCTTGCTCTTAAATTTACCATGACCCGTAAGAAATTGAGCGACACAGTGATCCACCTCAAGCCATATCCTCGACAACCGTTCGCGAACAGATGGAAAGAATTGGTAAAGATGGCGCCCCTTGGATGATTCATCCCAGCGTTGTTGCCATTCGTCTATGAGGTCATTATAGACATCGGGCTGCTGTTGAAGCAATCTTGTAATTTTACCGCGATCCCGCGCGCCCAAAAAATCGCATTCCATGTTTTGTTGTCTTGAATAGTACATGGCTGCACGTCTCTGCACCTCGAGATCGACCGGAAGCACACCCGCCAACACCGGCAAAGCCTCAGTGCTAACCGTCCTATATGCCTTACACAAGAATATCAGTGCAAGTCGTTGGCCTTGTAACAGTTTGCGACGGACAGCGCCTACGGTCGCCCTATCGGCCCATACAGGTGCACCATAGCACATAGAACCTAAATAAGTAGCTCCGTATATGATCTTTAATGTATTAAATGATAGACCCCATGTCGCAGTTGATATCCTTGTCAATGCACAGAAACTCTTTTTAGACTTTTCATTAACTATTTTAATATGTTCGATAAATGAAAAGTTTCTTTCTAAAACTAATCCTAGATAACACACTGTGGTTTTATTTTTTACAGTAACATTGTCAAATCTAATGCTCGGCGGTGATTTGAGGTTACCTTTTAAAAGTAGCTGGAAGGTTTTGTTGGGTGCAAAAGTTAAGCGATTACGTTCACCCCATTGAGATATCAAGTTCAAAGTTGATAGGTTGTTGGATCTCGCCTTTTCGAATGGATTACTGATAGTCGAGGAATGTGACGTTCCGTTGGCATCTCCAATAGACTTGCACCATAAACCCTTGCATATTGAGGCAGATTTC